TACCACTGTTATTTATGTGAAAGAAAGAAAATGACTCATGTATATAATCTTGCTGGAGGCAAGACCCCAGAACACAGTACTAGTGATGGCCTCACGAGGTAGAGAATTGAAGGTCTAGGGATAAAAGGGAAGCTGATTGGTCCTGTATATAATTTTCCTTTAAAGATTGTATTTTTTGCAATGGGTATTAATTACTTTTCAAAACAGTTAAGAAGTTGGTGACATGTGACAGTTTTGCAAATTTATGCATTTGAGACCTAAAGGAAATCAAGACCTCATAAACGTCACATCTAAATGGTAAACATTCGCTAACCATTTATTTAGCAATGCTATATTCTTGGCAAAGCCCTATGCAGGCTCTTATTTGGATGTTCATGAAAATTGTGAAGGACATCTATACTTTCTGCTGGAAGAGGTTCACATCTATTGGATAGTAAATATAGAAGGAAGTGGAGCAGTGTTGACCTCAGGAGGAATAAGGTCTTCACCCCTACAAACAAGCCCCACGAAGTTTTCTAGGCCAGGAAAAACGCCTCTATGCCCAAGGTATTTTGAATCTGCTTGTAAGATTGAAATATGCCCTCATTGTTGAAAAATCGTAATTAAAAACCTTCTGCCGATAGGCTCTATCCATCCTTAACTGGCTTATTTGCTTAGCATTTTTCTGACTCCATCAAACGAGTGCACCCAACTTAAGAAACTACTCGAATATCCAGATCTACAAAAATAATTTTGAAAGGAGCCCCTGCTTGCTCAATTTAAGAATTCCTTTAAATATCAAACTACATAAACTTGCTTAAAACATGATACAATATCAAAATTATGTACAAATTTCAGGAACATCAAGTTTCATTCAACAGTCAGGTATGCAGTAATTACTTCCTGGTTGGATGAACATACCTATTGAAAATCAGTAGAGTGAGATGGATAAGAGCATGGATTGGGGTCTGGATATCCCCATGTTTGGATTCTATCTCTGTCATTCATTAGCTGAATATGACCTTGAACAAGTGACTTAAACTCTCAAGACCTCAGTATTCCTTACATAAATAAAATGGATAAGCAACACCCTATTCGTAGTTGGTTGTGTTATATGAAACATGTAAGTAAACATAGCATCAGTATATTTTATTGTACATTATATTTTATTAGGTTTCCTAATATAATGCATTATTTCCTTTCCTTTCATTTCTTCTTGCCTGAATGCAAGCAAACAAATAGCAAGAATAAAACACCAGTATGTTATGTGTTCAGACATATAATATAGGTAAATATATAAACATAATTGCGTATTTTATTTACACACATATATGGCATATACTAAATGTTTGGTAAATGGTAGTTATTATGGTGAACAATAACAAAAAATGCTCTGAAGATTTAAGTCTCCATTTTCACATCCACAAAGATGAATTTTATACAAAAGATTTCAAGACATTTTATTGCATTGAACAGGGAGGGGTAAGAGACTTTGCGTAACTGAGATTTTCATGGCCTTAAAATTATGGGAAAACAATTAACAAGTAAACAAGTTAATTCTGGCAGGGATTCGGCTTGTAACAATTGCTAACATCTATTTCATGTGTGGTGATTAATCATTCAGCAGAGTAAATACTGGAACTTAACATCCTTTCAAGTGTATTTTATAGTATTACCTGTGTCCTAGTTTCTTAATTAAAAATACTAAATGTAAATATTTTAATATTTCAGTCTAGAATAGAATTGCAGGTGTTTTCAGGAGGAAAGGCAAAACTGAAACAAACTTCTCCAAATTAAGAGACCAAATGATGGTACTCCATCACACAGCCAAACATTTCTTCTGTTTTTGTATTTTTCTGGCTCCCCACCCCCCTTTTTGGTAGCACTACTAGGTCGCTTAATAAAGTTGAGAATTCTTGCAAAGGACCTTATAAACACGTGTTATTAGATTTTAAATCTGATTTGAAAGTGCCTCTTTCCTACTCCCTTTGAGTAAAGTGACCTTTTTAAATGGAGGGAAGTGGGTTTAGATGACAGTCATGATAAATGCGGTCATGTTCACTCAATAAAATAAGGCCCAGTGCATTTGAGGATAAATCAGTGAAATGTACAGCCCCACCTGTCTGTCTCCATCATTCATTTCCACTGTCACTTTCACAGTGGCTGATGGATCACAGTTGCTGTAAAATTAGACAGCCTTTAATCTCATTTCATCCTGATTAGCTTCTCTTTCCCCTTTCCCTCTAACTCACTGACTGACACGCTAAAACTCACACTGGGCTGTACAGGAACATGGAGTGCAAACCTCCTTCACTACCTGCTCGTGAGGGTGAGGCCAGCGTCCGCCTCTGGTGAAATCTGGGAAGGAGCAGGCATGTGTTTGTCGTTACTTAAAAGAGAATCAGTAAGTGCGGTACCAGTGCCATTTTAAACAGATTGTTTGCTCTTACTCACTGCCCTATTTATTTTACTTTCTTTCCATTTTAATCAGAAGTCAAAGGAATTAGGTCTTCGGCAAAATTCAAACATTGATTGAATATAGATTTTTTTCTAATACATTTGGGAGCATTTAGCATTCAGAATCATTTCAGGGAGTTGTTTGTAGATATTTATAGTCTCTGACTTCACAGTAATAATTCAGAGAAGATAGTCATTCAGAAATGAGAACACTGAAATGCTCAGCCAAGAAATATATTAAGCCAGGTTTTAGGAGGAGAGTAAACTGTGTAGATAAATGAGAAGACCTTCAAGTAGCCTTTCAATTAGGACTTCAGAGACCTTTTGTCTTATTTTGAAGAGTTCAGTAGTTAGCTCAGTACAATAGTTTCATTTGTTTGCATAAAGCATTACAATAGAGGTAATCAAATGAGAAAGAGGCTTAAAAATAAATCATGTATTATTTCCTTCACTTAATTTCTGCTTGCCTGAATGGGAACAAATGATTGGCAAGAACGAAACACAAGTGTGGATATAGTCTCAGAGACTGGGCTTTCTTATGAGTCTGGACTTCTGGTTAAAGAGAAGGCAATATAATCGTTCATTACTTATAAGGGTTGGGCAATGAAGTGACCAAAAGTTTAAAATAATTATTTGAAACATGGTAGTCATAGATTACATTGATTATACTGGATTGCCTCTAGTTCTGCAATGGATCTCCTGTAAATTGATCCACACAGGTGACAGGTAACATTGTTTAAGTTTACATTGACAGGAGGACCTTACGGTGAACTGGGGTAGTGTCAGGCCATTCACCATGTAATGTGGGCTGCCTAGTTTTGTTTTTGGTATTTTAGAACCAGCATCATAGTCCTAACAATGGTGAACTAATAAAAAAAAAAAAAATAGATGTTCAAAACGTATTCAACCTTAGTTCCTCGACAAACCTACGATGTACTCTGCCTCAATGAATTCTGACTAGTAAAGCCTGCAAGATCTATGTGGTTAAAAGTGTTTTCTCAAATAAATAAATAAATAACCAAACTAAGGATTGAGGGGCTAAAGGATATTTCTGAGACGACCTTCTATGTCACTTGATTCACAGACCATGCAAACTTTGCCACACCCAATTTTTACATCATTCCCCAAATCCCTTTTCCCTTACAGACATGTTCAAAAACATTAATTATTTGCAATAAAAAATTAATTAGTTAATTACTTAATCAGAACTCTGAAAATCCTTGAGGAAGAAGCTTAAGTGATCTGATTTGCTCTTTCACGAAGCTGTGTGATGGGTTTCAAATGCTGTGCCTGTTTCTTCTTATTTTTATTTACACGTCTTAGCCAGCATAAGCACTTTCTGAGAAAAATAAAAGATAATAAAAACAAAATGAAATGAGAGAGATATATCACCCAAAATAAGTCAGGTGTGGGATAGGTTCGTTCTCTCTCTCACTCTCTTCTTTCACTCTGCATTGGCAAAAGAGCACAAAGTAAGAGTTGGCCCTGACTCATATTGATTTCCCACTGCACTGGTTTCTTAAGTGCTCTGTTGATCCGTGTCAAGCAATAAGTTCCCTGCCTGAACATGCACATCACCTCCCCATTTGTCCTCACCTAGATTTAAGGTGCCCATATGATGAGCTGAACAAGGACATCATTTTTCCTACTGGTGTCAGTGGGCCCCAAGCCCTGCGTGTGATGTGAGAGCTAATGCCGTATACGTTTACATTTACCATAGGATATTACAAAAGCAGAGGCGACCACAGCATCCTATTCTGGAGCCTTGCAGCTCCCCAAAGGCAATGTAAATGAGAACGACTTCGGCAAAATCGGCTTGTATGGTTTTCTAACGCCCCTCTTCACAGCCATCACTTTGGGAAGGGAGAAGAAGGAGGCGAGGAAAATGAATATTTGTGATGTTCCTGACAGTTTTCCTCTACGTTACAGAAGAGCTCCTAAGCAGATAGATAGAAAATGTGTGATTGTGCTGCTAATGACATTGTACAGGAAATTAAGCGTATACATTTGGAGGAGGCATTAAATCAGCAGGACCTTAATTTAAAAACTTAAAACTGTATGGAAATTCAGCTTGCTCATTGCTGTGGAATAGAAAACTACCAAGCACCCTGAGTCTGTTTATGGAAAGAATGCCAGCTAACCAAGTTAGGGCAGAGCATTGTAATGGCTCCAAATGTATTCAAGATTCCTTCTTCCAAGAAGTAACCCTCAGCCCTGACCATTTGGGAGTGGCAGTCATTGTGTGAGAGTTCCATTCCTGTCATCAGGCAGGTGAGAACTTAAGACTTGAAAGCAGCAATGTCAGTTGTTCTTGATTCATCCATGGAATAACATTATGTAAAATTAATCGGAAGGGGTTGGGTTTGACAACACTGGGAACACACCACTGAGCTGCTGCAAAGAGGTCCCCGATTGATGAGTAGCCACTCTGCTGCCTCTGTTTGCTTCTTCCTTCTGAAATAGTCTCACATTTTATATACGTTGGTGATGCAAACAACTAGTGAGCCAAGGTCAAGTCCTAAGATGAGAAATTTCATGTCTCTTTTTTGTCTTTCTCATTCTAGTTATGCCATACAACAGTGCCCACCACTGTGTTGTGGAGGTAGAAAACTTTTTGTTCGTGTTGGGCGGAGAGGACCAATGGAACCCAAATGGTAACTACCGAACCACCTAATTGTAGGTGCTCCACAACAATGTGTGTATCAAGATCATTAGTAGTAGTCCGTCTTGTAATGAGTGTCAGAAATGTATGTCTATGCAGTCGGCACAGATGAAGTACTCAGGAAATTGGGCCGACAGTTGGAGGGAGGGTCAGGCATTGAGCTAATTGAAGACATACGTAGTAGAGCATTCAGTCATGGACTGTCTGGGGATTTGGCTTCGCAGCGATGCCCCAGCCCTTCTCCTTATCCGTCCCCTGAGGAATGCCATAAGCATAAGCACAAACTCCCTGGAGGAAAGTAGCCAGCTGCAGCTGTTAAGAATCCTCATCACCCTCTCTACCACTTTCCCCTCATTTTATGTATATAATAATGTGGTTGCAAAAAAATAAGCATTATTTCTGGTCATGCTGGTGAAATTATTTGCAGCAGGTATTCCTTGAAATTTCTTCTAATCCCTATACCTTTTGCAAGTGCTAATCCTGTAGATTATCCACCAACCTGCTCATTGATGTGATTGCTTGATAAATTTATCACAAAGACAAATCCAACATTTTAATACAATTCCCAAGCCCAACAGATGAGAACACTGTGCCTTGCAGAATACGCAAAATTATCAAGAAATTTTTGGATAGCTTGCACATGAAGGAGGAGCTGGAGTTGTAGCCTTCTGTGTAACAGAGATAATTATGGCTGAGAAACTATAAAACAGCTTGCAGGTACACATTTTTACTTTAAAACCCCCGAACATCCCCCTGAAATTACATATACTGCATATATTTTATTGTGAATGCTCTCTTTCAGCATCTGCACTAAGGCAAATTACAGAAAATTGTTACATCTGTTCACTCTAGAAAATCTTAAAGGAAAACAATCCAGGCCACCCTCCAAGAGCATGTCTTTTCAGAGAGGGGGACATTTCTTTCCCAAGACCTGCAGCTTTTCTGTGTTACATCTTTCACTATTGAAAATAAGACAGTCCCTGGGTTTTGTGAGAAACAGATTTGGAGCACAAGTGCAAATGGTTTTTAATATCTCTCCTTTAACTTACCTTTAACTTACTGGTGGGTTTGATATATTACCAGAAAACCCTGACATACATACAAACCACTATAAAATTCCTGTTTACTGTTCACTTACCCACCCTCTAAAGTGACTTGAACTTATGGAGTATTTTAAGTAGCCACATATAGCACAGTCATTGAGTTTATCTAAGCAAAGAATTTACAGAACATTCTTTTGAAGGTCAGATTAAAACTAAAGCATGACAAAAATAAAAGGCTGAAAAGACCCGTTTGACAGAAGCACTTTCTCAGCCCACCCCTTTTCCCAGGTGAAACAGTCCTCTTAAAATACCAGTCTCCATTCCACAGCTCAGTTTTCACAAAACACTAAGAACCTCCACTTTCTGTGAGACCTTCAACACAACATAGAAAATCTGATCCTTAGGTTTACAGTATTACCTGGAACTGCTTGCTGTTCAACTTCTAATCAAAGACACATTGAAACAATTGGGTGGGGGGAGGTTGGGGAGCGTTTAAAGGCTATATTCCTCCCTCTAGTCTAGAGAATCAAAATTATATCTTTGAATTAATTCAGACTCCTGTAAATTCATGCTGTTGGAATACCTTGATTTTCCACCCCTGAGAGGAACAATTGAGTTTTTTTTGTTGTTGTTCTTTTTTTTTTTTTTTTTTTTTTCTTTTTTGAGATGTTTTTGCTATAGGGCACATGCACTCGCCAG